CATTGCACCCATCTTAATAAACTTAAAGACGGAGGGTTGGTGGCACACGTCAACGGCATTATTGTCTTTTGATTTACTGTATCTTTCTTTAGATTAAATTATTAAATAAAAATTATTAAATAAAAAACACTTAATATTAAAAAATTAATCCCTATTTTATAATTAATATGATATAATTTAATACAATTTATAATACATTATATTTTTTTCTTAGTTTTATACTACCACTTAAATTACACTTCTATTCAAATTTTAGAACATTGCACTCATGTCCAGCACTTGGTGATGTATTTGCCACCCCCTTGCGAAATGTGGTTGGGACACTCAAGACCTGGGTTTTAGTCCTAGGTGTAACACCCCACGTACCTTAGTGAATAATTTAAAAATTAATGTCCTTTAGTTTATAGTTTTAGGAATTAAATTAATTGAATTTAAAGTTTGGGGGTTTTAAGTAAAACTTAGTAGAAGTTGAATGATCATAACTCAATTATCCCAATTTTACTTACCACATGGCATTGTCCCAACCAAGTTTTTTTTTCTTTGTCGCTGGAAACTTGGATAAGCCTCCAGAAGGCTCCCAAAAGTCCCCATTTTGTTTTCCTACGTTTTCCAGCCGTCTCACTTGCATCCTTTTCTTCCTTCTTTCTCCAACCAAAGTTAAGGTGCTTTTTGTTAGGTAAGTATAAGTTTTAGTTATAAATTTTGGGTTAGAGTTTTGAGTAGTTTAAATTGGTGAGATTTAACTCTAATCCTTTGGTTTATAAGATTTTTGGGTATTAAAATTTCATTAGAAATATTCTTAATTTTGGGGCTTATATGGGAAAGACAGTGAGTTAGTCCTTTTTATTTTTGATTTGGGTGTGAATTTTTGCTGTAGGAATTATAATTAAATTGTACTATTTACGAATTACTGTTCACGATTACGGTTAACGATTACTGTTCACAATTACTGTTCACGCATTATGCTTTGATCTCTTTCAATAGGAAGTCCTAATATTATTTTGGACATATTATGAATTTGTTTGACATGTGTATATGTTTGTGGCTATGGAGTAAGTTTGAGGTAGTCAGTGGACCCTTTAGGGTATTTAGTGGACCTTTGCGTAGTAGGGTTAGTACTGTGATTAGTTCCGGTACAGTGTTGCTAGCACATCTCAGTGGACTCCATAGCATTGTGTGATTTCACTTTTATGCATTGCGCTTGTGGAATCGTATTTGTAAGCATATGATTTTAGTATATGAATTCAATTTCAATGTCATTGATTATTACTTGACATTTGCGCTTATGATTTGAGATATTAAGTCATTATTTAAATAGTGAGAATTATAATATTATGTGATTTGATTTCGTTGTGTCTTATGCTTTTTGTGTGGATAGATCTAAGGGTTTTAGGACCCAAGTTTATAGCTTAAACTTATTACTTACTGGACAGTTAGCTCATAAAATCCCCCCCATTTCAGATTAGTAGATCGAGGTAGCAGCCTCTCGATTTAGGAGCTTTTAGCACGGGACTCGCACGCTCGTTGTATGTACAAGATAGGATCTCGTGTTTTCGATAGGGAGGCAGATCGATGTGTTACTAAAACAATGACTCAGCTTTTGCTTTTTTAGAAAAGCTTTGGAGAAGAAATTTGCCTCATATAATTTTTGTGTAAATTACCTTTATGTATAAAATCTTTAAATTAATTATAAATGAGTTTAGCTTAGTTTATTTTATAACTTTGAATATTTTGACATTTTTCAATATATATATTGATATTCTTTTTATTAAATTGATTTTCTGAATATAAGTTTTCTTTTGAAAAAATATTTTATATCATCAGTGTTTTTACTTCTGCTGTAATTCTTTACTATAAATTTTGTTTTCAAACTTTTCTAGGATTAGAAATGCATAAGGAGATGTGTTATACTAGGTCCCCTTCCCCGAAAATTCCCCACTATCAAAATTGAAAAAAAAAAAAAACCATTGCACTCAACTTTTTTTTTTTTGAAATTATAGTATGATTGCACTCATCTTAATAAACTTAAAGACGGAGGGTTGGTGGCACGCGTCAACGCCATTATTGACTTTTGGTTTATTGTTTCTTTCTTTAGTTGATTTTCATTTTCCTTTTGGTCTTGAGATATAAAATCCTTCTAAAACAGAGCTACGTGATCTACTGGATATTAAGAGAATCTCAGAGCCAGATCGAGAGGACGCAATCGACTACACATGCTTAGGTACAAACTCTGTAAGTAACTCTGTAAGTGTTCACTTCCATCTGCCTGTCTACCTTCTTCTCTTTTCTATTTTTGAATGATTTTGTAGAATCGGTAATTGTACAAGGTGTACAACTTAAGATCTGTGCTTGCACCCTTTTCCAGGTATTGCATCATCTTGATGAAATCCATACTCTAATCCAAAGAGTACAGCATAGATTTACATTAATTATTTCAAGCAATAAGTGGAATTTGCTATTTGACATTGAAGAAGTTGTATATCTCAACTAAGTAGGTAAGAGTTTTTTTTTTAGATTCCGTTCTTTTTTCTTTTTTCTTTCTTTTTTTTTTTTTGATTTTTTACATCAGACGCTAGTTATATGCATTTTTTCATTTGTTAAATTCCTTTTCAACTTACTAAAGATTTAAATTGAACACTTTCAAATTAAAAATATCAAGTTTAATTTTTACCAGTTAAGTATCTTTAGACTTTTTTTTCTTACAAAAACATTAATTTATCGAAAATTTAAAATTTTATTTTTTTCTAAAAAAATTTAAATATTTACTTATTTTTTAATTATCTAAAATTTTATTTACAGTTAAACTTATGGGAAAAGTGCATATTAGTTAGGACTCTAAAAAATAATTAGAGTTTTAATTTCAAAATATGTCACTTTATTTAAT